ATCTATTGCAGCGGCCAAAATACTCTTAATCGCATGTTGATTCTGAATGTGGAGGGACAAAATGGAGGCCCCGTTGAATCTGGATGAGGCGAGGGACTCGTCACCTAGCGTTGCTTTGTGGTCAAAAGGCAGACATGGGACTACCCAGCATGCTTTGCAGGATGCATTGGAAGACGGGTGTTGGAGCTGGTGCGGTGCACACCGTGCATACTGCATGTCCCTGTTATTCTCTTTGGCCAGTGCCACTTCCCGGTCAACACTTGTGAAATAAAACTCCTTTTCTTTGTCACCAACGTAAGGTCTTTATTTCACGGCACGGGTCCACACCACCCTCCCTCTCTCCCGCAACGCTCCCAACTCCGCCTCCCAATCCCTCGTTTAACCTCTTCCTGGCTCCGCCCCTCGTCGCACTCCATCTCCACCAATCATTCTCTCTTACCCTCAGCCTGGCCTAACCGTAACACCTGATGCCCACCCACTTACCCACCCACCCACTCCCTCACCCACTCCCTCGTTTAACCTCTTCCTGTATCCGCCCCTCGTCGCACTCCATCTCCACCAATCATTCTCTCTTACCCTTAGCCTGGCCTAACCGTACCACCTGACGCTCACCCAACCCTCCAGCTCTTTTCCTTCTTGCTCCTCGTGCAATAACCAATCAAAGCATGGAGTGGTTGCTCCTGCCTTCTTGATTGCTCTGTCCCAGGGATCGTGTGGGAACAATAACTACACTTGCACCCAGCTGCGGACAACTTTGTATTGGTGAACGCACGCTCTGATAGTCAACAAGACGGTGCTAATCCAGAATCCAAACAACGGATGTGAACTCGACATATTGGCTGTTACCGAAAGCTGGGTACATGACTCACCGGACGTAATTAAGCGTGAGGTTGCACCTAACGGATACGCTGTTGATGAAAATTTCTGACAATAATGGATAGTACTACAGGGTGTTTTAAAAGATGGACCCGATTTGAAATCGCTATATCTCTGCAACCACGAACCGCCCATGAATGAAACTCTTACCACTTGAAAGGGCGGGGCATAGAGAGGGCGGGGCACAGAGAGGGTGGGGCATAGAGTTTCAAATGATTACCGCTAGATGCCTCTCCCAGCGCACAAACAGCCCCTAGCCTCAGTCATTCGCAAGACGGTGACCCCGCAACACAAGGGGCGTTTTGCGTTCTGCAGTTCAGCAAGACTGAATACGTAATTGCGGTGCAGCGCGCGTTTCAACGGCATTCTGGCATCGATCTGCCAATGACAAAGAGCGTTCGTCGTTGGTAGCGACAATTTTAGGAAACGGGCTGCTGTTGATGTAAGGGGAAGAGCACAGGGCGACCACGCACCTCAGAGGAAAACGTGAGAAGAGAGGTGTTTGGGACGAATTCAACTATCGTCTCGATGTTGTCCGTACAGCAGGTGGAGGGCACATAGAGCATTGATAAAATGGTTCGTAAAACTTGATAACTCATTAAACCGTTTGTAACTTGTTGTGTAATTGTAACATGTTGCCATCGTGAGATATACCGCTTTGAAATTGGGTCCATCTATTTTAAACACCCTGTATAGTGCCTCGGTAACCTCGAATAGTGCAAGCGAGCGGTGCACGTGCGGTTTCTACTAAACGAAATGCTGCGTAATCCAGGAGAATCGGAGGTTCTGCTGGTTGGCACTCGGGTTCAGGCAGTACAATTTGCGGATCAGAATCTGTCGTTTGCTCACCAGGTGCAAAATATCGTGAGGTCCTGCGATTTTCCTATCAGGGCTCTACGACACATTTGACCACCATTGAGTCGTGACGTGGCCAACACGGTTGGTGTGTAGGGTAGCATTGGACAAGGCTCGATAATAATTGCAACTCAATAACATCTACGGGATCTCTGCCAAAATCATTACTAAGCAGCATGTACAACACTCTTTGGCGTGTGTCGTGATGGGTTACCAAAAGATCTGACCGTGTCCGTCCAGTGCTTGCCGAACGAATTGCTTTATAAGGTCGCACCCGTTACGCGCAAAGTGCTTGCCACAACTCTTCCCGACAGTTCTGTTTCTTCACCTGAGGAAGGCTACTTGTGTTGTGGCCGAAACGTCGTGAGAATTTTATTTTTTCGGTAAGTCACGTAGGTAAAAATTAAATAAAAATAAATCAAATCACAGCGTTTCGGAAGCAACACGAGCTTCCGTCATCAGGCGGGGCAACCACAGCAAAAAAAATGTTTTGTAGTGGGTAAAGAGAGCTGTTTGTGAAGCGATTATATAAGGTCAGAGGGGGGGGGGGAGGAGCCAGGGAGGAGAAGTGCAGGGCGCGGGGGGTGTGGGGTAGGGGTGGGGGGGAGAAGTGAAGATGGTACTGTTGAGGCATGGTTGGTGCGCACAACAACAAACGAAAACTGCCACAAATGAACCACAATACCTCGCTGCCGATCTTGTCAAGGAGCTAGAAGCCATCATCACGCGAACTCCGCTCATCCTCGCAGCGGCGGCTTTAGGCTGGCCATCGAACAAAGGACGGTGGTCACCGCATCGTCGCGGCGCTCTCAGATGCACTTTTGTGGCCATCTGGAACGCTCTTCCTTCCGATATTAGGAAGCCACTGGAGCTTGCACTTGTAAATCATCATCGAGATTGACAAACCAATTTATTTAGAACTGCTTGCCGTTTAGTTTGTGGTCCTTCCCCCGCACCTCCGATAGGCATGGTTATCGACGTACAGTGCAAAAGAAGTACAACATATATACGTACGCACACGCACCACGCAGACACATGAAATCTCCGCTCTCTCACTATAACACGCACCAATCACACGCGCGGGAATGCGCTAGACGGGGGTCAGGGGTTAAAGGGCAATGACGTCACCGGGACCAGGCGTGCCCGAACGTGGATGTTTATTGGGAGTGAGGGCAGAGATGGAGGGGTTAGAAGGGCCGTGAAGCGCGTGTTCGGGGTTGGTTTTTGGAACGAGTGTTGCTGTGCGTTGGAGAAATAAAGAAGTTATTAACCAGACTCCGAGTCCTCTTCACAGACATGGCTACAAACCATGCAAAGTAACTGGTATTGGCCAAACATCCCCATGCTGAAAGATTAACCTTAACACAACTCCACAACCTTCTCAAATTAACTAAACCCACAAAGACGGTGGTCAACGCATCGCGTGGCGCTGTCAGATGCGCTGCTTAGGCGGCCGCCTGGAAAGCTCTCCATCGAGATCAGGGGTGGGCGAACGTCCGGCCCACGGGCCGTACAAGACCCGCGAAATCATTTGGTGTGGCCCTGCCAAGGCAAACCGCAGGCGGGACTCGAAATTCAATAAATCTAGGAGCAAACCTGGAAAAGCAGTTGCGAGCAGCAGCAACATCGTCAATACCAGCTAACATCATCACACGCCTCGCCAAAGAGAAGCAGTTCCAGCCATCACATCAGGGGCGAGTTAATTAAACGTTTGACCAAATGTAAACGGGCTAATTTAAGTTGATAATTTTGTATGGCCCGCGAATGACATTATATAAATATCCAAATGGCCCTTGGCAGAAAAAAGGTTCCCCACGTCTGCTCGAGATCGACAAACTCATTTCTTTAAGCGCCGTTTGTTGTTGCGTTTAGTTTGGCGTCCTTCCCCCACCCCGCACCTCCGATAAGCAATGTTGGCTCCACACAGTGCGACAGAAGCTCAACATACAATCAAATTGAGTTTCACAAAATGCACTCCCAGCCTTCCCTCTGATACAAAGCTTTGATTTTATTGATCCCGATTCGCAAATTGAAAAATAAAAAAAACTGTCGGTCATTACACAGCTGGGGGGGGCGAATGAGCCGGCACACAGTCCTTTAGCCAACGGCTATGCGTCTCCATGGGGGATGTCTATAATGGCCGTGTCAGCAACACCGATCCGGTGACAATTTAATACATTGGCCCAACACCATAGGTGTGAATGTTTCTCGGGTCTCTCTTTCTCTCAGGAATTTGATAGTGGCCAAACCCAGGGCTTGAACCAAGGAATGGCAACATTGCTGGCCTCGGGTGTCTCCGTCACAGCCGTTGTGAACCTTCCCTGGAGACACTGAATAGTACCAAGGCTCAAACCTAGCGCCTTTAAAAAAAAAAAGCCCACCGTGTCTCCTGACACAGCCACGCAGACTCACTGAGACATGGTGACACCCCCCAGACGCCGGATTCTAGTAAGTAAAGAAAGTCAAGTTCACACAGCCATTACGAATTTCTTGAGAGACAGCCAGACCAGGCGTTCGAACCCAGGACTTCTACTGGACAACTGCCAAAAAAGAGCTTCATAGCTCATTGGATTCCTCCGGTCAAAACAAAAGATTTAGATTCTAAAGATTCACATTTTTTATTAGCGTCACTGGCTCGCAGTCTCCAACACGGCCATGAGCAACGACTGGACATAAGAGGGAGCCACCCAGGGGTTGAACCTAGGATCCCAGTGGTGCTGGATCAGCGTCTCCGACACGTCCATTGTGAACCCCCGTAGGATACAAAGACAGACCCATGATGCCCTGGGGCTTGAACCCAGAACCTCAACACAAGGCGTCGCTTGACACGGCCACGATTAACTCTTTGATCCACACACTCCCTCCCTCCCACTGACCCTCATCCGCTCAGTCGTGGGTTCACGATGGCCTGGTGCTGTCTGGGTTCACAATGGCCTGGTGGTGTCTGGGTTCACAATGGCCTGGTGGTGTCTAGGTTCTGGGTTCACGATGATCTGGTGCTGTCTGGATTCACGATGGCCGGTGGTGTAAACTAAATTATATTTTTTATTTTACCAGGCAAGGCCCAGTAAGCTATGGAGCTCTAATTCAGAAGCGACCTGACTATAACAAAATACAGCTTAACGAAATGGTGGCTTAACATCACGTGGAAATGTATATCATCCAAAGACTCCGAATGCGTGACATGGAGGGAAAACTCCTAGGACCCGGAAAGTAAATCCACGCGACCAACACGGGTGGGGGGGGGGGGGGGGGGGGGGGGGGGGGGAGACACGCACACTCCAAATATACAACAGGCATCGTGAGGGTCAGCATTGAACCCACGACCCGCCTGCATACCAGGAGAGGAAGTCAACGTCTCCTCCTCGCCGCCGCCGCCGGGGCCCCCGTTCGTGACGGGGTTCACGCCGGCCGGCTGGCCGCCGCGGCCCTCAAGTGCCGTAGGTGGCCTCGTCGAAGGCCTTGCGTGCCTTCTTGAGCTCCTCGTTCATGGTGAGCAGCTCCTTCATGCGCGAGAATTTGCGCTCGTCCTTCCTGACGAGGAACACCAGGTCCTCGACCTGGAGCCGCCCGGGCCGCCCAACGGCGATCGCCCTGTGAGTCTGAGAGCGCGAGAGAGGCAGGGATAGCCCTGTGAGTCTGAGAGTGTGGCAGAGATAGCGCTGTGAGTCTGTGAGAGAGAGAGAGGCAGGGATAGCCTTGTGAGTCTGAGAGAGCGAGAGAGGCAGGGATAGCACTGTGAGTCTGAGAGAGAGAGTGGCAGGGATAGCCCTGTGAGTCAGAGAGAGAGAGGCAGGGATAGCCCTGTGAGTCTGAGAGAGAGAGAGAGAGAGGCAGGAATAGCGCTGTGAGTCAGAGAGAGAGAGGCAGAGATAGCGCTGTGAGTCAGAGAGTGAGAGTGGCAGGGATAGCGCTGTGAGTCAGAGAGAGGGCGAGGCAGGGATAGCCCTGTGAGTCTGAGAGAGAGCGAGGCAGGGATAGCGCTGTGAGTCAGAGAGAGAGAGGCAGAGATAGCGCTGTGAGTCTGAGAGAGTGAGAGTGGCAGGGATAGCCCTGTGAGTCAGAGAGAGAGCGAGAGTGGCAGCGATAGCCCTGTGAGTCTGAGAGAGAGAGAGAGAGGCAGGGATAGCCCTGTGAGTCTGAGAGAGAGAGAGTGGCAGGGATAGCCCTGTGAGTCTGAGAGAGAGAGAGTGGCAGGGATAGCCCTGTGAGTCTGAGAGAGAGAGAGAGTGGCAGGGATAGCCCTGTGAGTCTGAGAGAGAGAGAGTGGCAGGGATAGCCCTGTGAGTCTGAGAGAGAGAGAGTGGCAGGGATAGCCCTGTGAGTCTGAGAGAGAGAGAGTGGCAGGGATAGCCCTGTGAGTCTGAGAGAGAGAAGAGAGGCAGGGATAGCCCTGTGAGTCTGAGAGAGTGAGAGAGAGAGTCAGAGATAGCGCTGTGAGTCTGAGAGAGAGAGAGGCAGGGATAGCCCTGTGAGTCTGAGAGAGGCAGGGATAGCGCTGTGAGTCAGAGAGAGAGAGGCAGAGATAGCGCTGTGAGTCTGAGAGAGTGAGAGTGGCAGGGATAGCGCTGTGAGTCAGAGAGAGAGCGAGGCAGGGATAGCCCTGTGAGTCTGAGAGAGAGAGAGAGGCAGCGATAGCGCTGTGAGTCAGAGAGAGAGAGGCAGAGATAGCGCTGTGAGTCTGAGAGAGTGAGTGTGGCAGGGATAGCCCTGTGAGTCAGAGAGCGAGAGTGGCAGGGATAGCCCTGTGAGTCTGAGAGAGAGAGTGGCAGGGATAGCCCTGTGAGTCTGAAAGAGAGAGTGGCAGGGATAGCCCTGTGAGTCTGAGAGAGCGAGAGAGTGGCAGGGATAGCCCTGTGAGTCTGAGGGAGAGACGGGGATAGCCCTGTGAGTCTGAGAGAGAGAGAGATAGTGGCAGGGATAGCCCTGTGAGTCTGAGAGAGAGAGAGAGAGTGGCAGGGATAGCCCTGTGAGTCTGAGAGCGAGAGTGGCAGGGATAGCCCTGTGAGTCAGAGAGCGAGAGAGTGGCAGGGATAGCCCTGTGAGTCTGAGAGAGCGAGAGAGTGGCAGGGATAGCCCTGTGAGTCTGAGAGAGAGAGAGATAGTGGCAGGGATAGCCCTGTGAGTCAGAGAGAGAGTGAGAGTGGCAGGGATAGCCCTGTGAGTCTGAGAGAGAGAGAGTGGCAGGGATAGCCCTGTGAGTCAGAGAGCGAGGGAGTGGCAGGGATAGCCCTGTGAGTCTGAGAGAGAGAGAGATAGTGGCAGGGATAGCCCTGTGAGTCAGAGAGAGAGAGAGAGAGTGGCAGGGATAGCCCTGTGAGTCTGAGAGAGAGAGAGTGGCAGGGATAGCCCTGTGAGTCTGAGAGAGCGAGAGAGTGGCAGGGATAGCCCTGTGAGTCTGAGAGAGAGACGGGGATAGCCCTGTGAGTCTGAGAGAGAGAGAGATAGTGGCAGGGATAGCCCTGTGAGTCAGAGAGAGAGAGAGAGAGTGGCAGGGATAGCCCTGTGAGTCTGAGAGAGAGAGAGTGGCAGGGATAGCCCTGTGAGTCTGAGAGAGCGAGAGAGTGGCAGGGATAGCCCTGTGAGTCTGAGAGAGAGACGGGGATAGCCCTGTGAGTCTGAGAGAGAGAGAGATAGTGGCAGGGATAGCCCTGTGAGTCAGAGAGAGAGAGAGAGTGGCAGGGATAGCCCTGTGAGTCTGAGAGAGAGTGGCAGGGATAGCCCTGTGAGTCTGAGAGAGAGAGATAGTGGCAGGGATAGCCCTGTGAGTCTGAGAGAGAGAGAGAGAGTGGCAGGGATAGCCCTGTGAGTCAGAGAGAGAGCGAGAGTGGCAGGGATAGCCCTGTGAGTCAGAGAGCGAGAGAGTGGCAGGGATAGCGCTGTGAGTCTGAGAGAGCGAAAGAGTGGCAGGGATAGCCCTGTGAGTCTGAGAGAGAGACGGGGATAGCCCTGTGAGTCTGAGAGAGAGATAGTGGCAGGGATAGCCCTGTGAGTCAGAGAGCGTGGCAGGGATAGCCCTGTGAGTCTGAGAGAGCGAAAGAGTGGCAGGGATAGCCCTGTGAGTCAGAGAGAGAGACTTTGACTTTTGACTGCCTTTATTCAGGCTTCCACCTGCTTTTGCAGTGGAGCCACAGTGTAATGATCATGATGCAGGCAGCAACGGTGATGGGGAAAAAACCGACACTGGGAGGCGGCACACACACCGTCACCTGCAGCATCCAGCGTCAAGAAAAAAAACCCCTTCCCAACCGACGCACCCGACCGAGTGTCATCCGCGCCAGGCTCGGGAGGGGGGGGGGGGGGTCGGGGGTTTGGAGGGGGGGGGGGCCGGGGGGGTCGGGGGGGGGTCGGGGGGGGGGGGAGCGAGGGAGGGGGGGCGAGCCCGGGGGGGGTCAAAAGCAAACACCAGCGCCTTCCGTTCTCGACACCTTTTTTGCGTCAGTTTTGTTGCCAGATAAAAGGGTAAAAAATCCAATTATCATATTTTGTTACTGGCAAATGAGGTTTCCAATGGTGTAAATGCTTAACCCCGAGCTCTCATACTCTGATGGTGCATTGTCTTTGAGTTGTGTGCTTTTTGACGTCTCCTGGTCCAACACCAACGTGAGACGAGGCCTCTAAAGAAAGCTGTCTCGGGTGTGGACCAATCAATTTCAAGGACAGTGCCACATACATTATCAGAGTTCATATTCTTAGTTTTTTCGGTAAAGTCACGTTGAAGAGAAACAACAAAATAACAAAATATATAAAACAATAAAAAATTCTCACGACGTTTCGACCATAACTCAAACGGTCATCATTATCAGAGTTGTTGTTTTTTGTTTGCATTCCGACCGCAGGTATTGTGGTCAATGTAAACATGACTCTTCCCAATTCTTACCGACTGTGGCCGGGTCGCCCAGGCGTACCCCCAGATAGCGCGCGCCCTCCCCGCCCCAGACCACCCGTCCCGGGAGCGCCAGGGCGCTCACCGTTCCCTGCGGCCTCAGGCTCAGCGCCTCGCATTTCTCACCAGTTTACCCTCGCGGAGGAGGCTCTCTCGTAGAGGCGGACCGCGTCGCGGACCGCCTCCACGTCTCGCGCGTTGGTCACCACCGCGCACACATCGTCGGCGTACGCCGAGAGCGTGACCGGCGCGTCGCCTGACCCCGGGGGACCTGGAACCCGACAGCGTCTTTCTCAGTCGCAGCAGGAGCGGTTCTATACACATGGCGTATAGCAGCCCGGGGTAGTGCGAGACTCAAGGCGGGCCCCCCCCCGTGACGGCTAAGGGGCCGCGGAGCCTGCTGTTGATCTTCACGAGGCTACTGATGTTCGTGTACAGGAGCCGCACGTGCGCCGTAAACCGTCCGCCGGCTCCGTAAGCTTTCAGCGCCGCGTACACGTACCTGTGCCCGACGCGGTCGAAAGCCTTCTCTATGTCTAGAAAGAGAAGGCCGGCGTCCACCTTATGGGCGGCCGCCAGGTCGATAATGTCCCGCACTACCCCAATATTGTCCTGTGTAGCCTTCCCGGGAACAAAGTACGATTGGTCCGGGTGCACTACGCTCCCCGCCACGAGTTTCCGGCGGTTTGACAGCAGCTTTGCTATGATCTCATCGTCCGTGCACAGCACGGACACCGGCCGCCAGTTTCCCACTTGGCGCAGGTCACCCTTCTTGGGCAGTAGGGTTACCACCGCCCTCCTGCTGCTCTGTGGCAACTCCCCGGACCTCAGGCTCGCGCCGAGTACGTCGGCAAGCGCGGGACCGAGCTCGCCCCAGAAGGTCCTGTAAAATTCCGTTGGGAGGCCATCTATCCCCGGGGCCTTCCTCGCGGAGAGGCTGTTCATCGCGGCCTCTAAGTTCCAGGGCGGTCACTGGTTTCTCCAGCAGCTCCGCCTCAGGAGGGGCCAGCCTGGGCACACCGCCCAGCAGCTCCTCCAGCGCATCTTCCTGGACGCTTCCCGCTGTGAGCAGCGCCCCGTAGAAATCCGTGACGAGCCGCGAGACCTCCGCGTCCCCCGTCCGGACCTCGCCGCTCGGCGCCTGCAGGCCGGTTGATTGCATTCCCCGTGACCGGCCTGGTCCGCTGCCTGAGAAAGAGTCTCGTCGGTGCATCCAGGTGGTGTGGGTGGTGCATCTTCCGTTCGACGAAGCCCCTGTAGGCGTCCCGGTCGGAACCCCGGCTCGCAGCAGCTGTTGCTGCTCGCGGAGCTCACGGTGGCCCGCGGCGGTCTGGCGGCGGCCCAGCTCCGCCTCCACCGCCAGCACCCGGGCCCGCAGCCTCTCAACCTCCTCCTCCCGCCTGGCCGCGGCGTGCTGGCTCAAAAATCGCCGACACAACACCCCTGTCTGGGCGCCTTGGCGTTGTCCCACCACTGCTCGAGGGAGGTAAAACCGGTCCTTTCCTCTTCACCTATATCTTCCAGAAGGCCCTAAAGGCCGCCTGGAATTCCCTGTTTTCCAACAGCTGTATATTTAACCGCCAGTACGGGCTACGCTGCTCGGCGAGGGAGGGGGGGGGGGGGGGGGGGGGGGGGGGGGGGGGGCGGAGGCCCGCGACCATCAGGTAGTGGTCGGAAAAAACCCGAAGGGACCACCCCCCCCCCCCCCGCTCTCCC